AGAATATTCTTTCCATATCATTTTGGTTTCTTGACTACATTTTTCTTTAACAAAGTGACAATATAATTTTTTTGCGTTTATGACATACAAATAAGACATGGTGTATGCGTTTTACCTACAAAAACTTTTGAACTCTGAATAATCTTATCTGAGTTTTAATAATGTTCGTAAAAATAATACAGAATCATATTTTAAATTATGCAATAGTTGAGAACAAATTTGAGAAGTCGTAAATATAACTTACATGCTGCACCTTTTACTTCACCCGCAAAATGATTATGATCAACCAATTTTTTTAGTCCATATTCTTCGAAATTTCTATTGCAAATTTATATGACACGATATAGCCATTTTATAATGTTTTACTTATTTCGTTTGGCCATCATAATTTAATGTAAATATTCTTCAGCATAATATTTACCTAATCTCTTCTAAGCTTTTCATTAATGCTTGCATTATTTCATCAATATTTTCACTTGATTTTAAATATGTTCTCACCTGTTCTGCATCATAACCATCTTCATTACCTACTAAATCAGATGTAAAATAAAAATTATTAGTTTGTTGCTCGTGAATATATTCTGAATTCAGAGATTTTTGATGAAGTTTCTTTAATGTATTTTCAGAATCGCAAGATGAAATTGTTCAGCACTAAAACATTTATGTTCTCTTATAAGTTGTTCAGGCATTTTAAAACATATCGTGTGATGTATACATTAATCAATGCGATTATTTAAAACCACTGCATTATAATTTTTATTACATTTTAAACAATGAAGTTTTTTACATGAGATGAATTTGACCTTTTAATAATGCACTAATATTTTTATACTACACAAAGATCCTTAAACCTCAATATGTTAACATACTTTTTTATATATTTCTATTATTTTTTAGGTTTAACTATAACAATGTAATTCTAAAGAAGAATCTTCAATTTGATAGTCATTAATAAATACTTTTAAAAATTCTTCATATATTTTGATATTTGATGGTGTTATATCTACAGGATAATCATTTTAAGAGTCTTATTTTGAAATATCACATAGATTAGCTCCATTAACATGATGAGATGCTGGAAATATAATTTTAATACCATAATCATCACATCTATAATCACATTTGAATTATTTGTTTTGATATTTTATACGTTTTTGCAATTTTTAAATTTTACCAAATCTGGTAATGGAATATAACAACCAACTTATAAAGGATCATATTTATCAGATTGAAAATCAACATAAGTTATTTATTAAATCGTTACTTGGTTTTTGCATTATAATTATCAAACTTTGGTATCTTTTGAATCAAGGATTGAATCTTCTCAGATACTGATTGTGGGTCTTGATAATATGTTGATGAGATTAAAAAGGGTTTTAAACTTTGTTTTATTACTCCAGATAATTGTAATTCTACCTATTGTACAGATGCTATTAATGAGACATGAACATGAGCATATTTCATTTCAATATTTTTTTAAATTTAACATTGGATGCTTTGTTTTAAAATAGTTTTCTAAATTATGGCGATAATTGTTCAAACTCAATATATAATCAACAATTCTATTATTCAATGCTTCTTTAACTTTAGAAACGTTGATTCCTTTTTCAATGAAAATAAAATATTTTTTTGTACTGATGCTCGTTTACAATTTTAATAAGATCACTAGGTTTTTGTATAATATCATCATTTAATAAAATTTTATATTCCTTGTGATATGTTTGTTTTTGCTTTCAAATATTCAATAGATATTCATGATGCAATAAAATATGTACCAGATATCTTCTCCTTTACAGACTTCTAGTATTAGAGGAGTCACTTTTTTATCTTTGTAATGTAATAATTCTTGATGATTTTACTGAATTATGTACTTATTTTGGTGGCTCATATGTGCACTTATGTATTTTTTACTATAATCTGTACCTACAAGAGGACATAATTTCATAGCAAATAACTACCCAGTTGATATACCTGAAAATTATACAATATTTGATTTTTATTTTCATGAACTATCCGTTTGATAGTCGTACCTATTTTACATGTTATTTATTTTCTTTTGTTTTTTTAACTTTTTCTATTAAATAGATACTTATTATTTGCAATTCATATTCATTACATGATCCTTGAATATATTTTACATGAGACAATAGGATTGATATGTATGATGTAAACATTTTCAAATATTTCCATGGACCAATTACCAGTATATGATTTTTCAATAAAAATATTTTCATTTTCTTACTCTTACTTTATCACCAATTATGAATTTCGATAAAATAAATGTCTTATCTCTTTTATAAACAGTTTTTCATTATATTTTATCACTATATTTATTGACATCCATGGGTTTCATGCAAATAGTACGATGTGTGGTATGATTATATAATCTATTAATTTTGGATATATTTTCAATCATTTATAATTACTTTAAATATAAACATTTTTCGACATTTGTTCTTTTAATGTACGAATTAATCGTTCATCAACAAATGTTTTAAGTCCTGTATAAATCGACTAATGGTGAATATTTTACTCCTTCATAAAATATTGAAAATCTTGATTATAATAGTCTTGACAATGATATGTTTGTAATTATTTAGAAATTCTCTTAGTGTGTATTAATCATAGCTTATGCTTATTTTGAAAATACGTAAATAATTGTTAAAGTATATACATATCCGTTATTTAGTTTTACTTGTTCTTAATTCATGTTCACTAAATCTTCTTGCAATAATTCATCAATTCCTAACGTTACAACCTTATGTTGTTGTAGATTTTTTTCATAAGGTAATGTAATCGATAATAGTTTATCGAATATTTATTCTTTTTAATTTTTTTCTAATCACAAACTGCACATATACCATCTATACTAGATCTTCCATTTTTTGTTCTTCCTGTTTAATTTGAAACGTATCAATATACTTTTACATTTCAAGCAATAAGGATCCATTTATATAACTTATAATTGTATATGAATTATTGCTTGAATGAATAATTTAAGAGAAAGGGATATGTTCATAACATATTTACTGAATCGCAAAAATATTTTATCTCCTTTACTGAACTGTAATAGTTACGTTAAATAATATCCATTTTCGTCACCATCATTCGATATGACTAAGATATAAATGTACGTTAAAAAACTATATTTACTTCAAACTATGACTTGAACATTGTATGAAACGTCAATATATGTATCATCTGTATGTTGTTCAGACTTATAAAACAAATTCTATATTTGTTATCAATGATGCACATATATTCATAAACATAAATACATTACTTTTCATATATCGTAAATATTCTGCATTGTTATCTTGAATAGGAGCCAGTATATGATGTTCACAATTTTTTAATTGATTTAAGTTTTATTGCATCGTCAGAGCAAGCAGCACCTACTTTAGGTATTTTTTATGATGAAAATTACAATCTTCATGGTATCCATACCAAAGACACACACATGTGCCATTTATTACATTGTATGTGTCTGTCTGTATATCTGGTGATTTTTTAATATAAAATTGTTTTTCAAACGATGATTCTGTTGGAGTTGCTGGTATTGGAAATAACTTATCATAATAAAAACCATGTTTTTTCGATACTATTTGATTATCATGATCATGTTGAATGGGTTGAACTTGTTTACTAATATCTCTACTTTACCATCTCTACTAAATTATCTAGTATATCTATGACATGTATATATTTTTAATAATTTTCAAATTTATTACGATCATGTTGCTTCCATTCTTATGATGTATCTTTTATTTTTTCATTCTGTTATCTTATTTGTTTTGGTTTATACATTACATTTATAAAGTAAAAAATAATAATATTACAACTGGTTTGGTGTTTAAATATAAAATTAAACACACAGGATTTCTGTTTGATCCTAAATACAGGTCTTTGTTTTTGTGCATAAACTGACAATATTTTATATTGCGTCTATTTGTTTTCGTGTATACACATATTTTACTAAAAACGATTGTATTTTATTTCTATATTTACCATCATTTGATTTTTGTGTCATGTCAATTGTTATAAAACCAAATGGTTCTTCTGAACATTATTGACAACAATTTTTTAATTCATCAAAGTGCATACCACCACTTAAAAATTCATGATAAATATGGTTGAGCTTAGGTTATCTTGTCTAAATATATTTAGAATTATTTAATTATCTCTTATCAACTGCTTAGGAAATTTTGAAAGTGTTTGTGCTAAATACCGGCAATAAATGTCGTTAGGTCTACCACGTCTAAAATACGTCTCATTCAATATCTTGATTTTCTAATCTAAAATCATCGAATAATACAAGGTGTGGCTATTAATTTCCAGGACAGCACAGTTACACCAGATCAAATGATGTGAAAAGCGTAACCATTTAATATGCTTCGAAGTAATCCCCATCTGCCGTAATACACTTCTGTGCTCGGCTGTATTCTAGATTTTATATTATTATTAATATAGGTATCTCAACACTTCAAAAGACGTAAAATTATTAATATGTTAGACTAAAATAAGAATATTTTACGAAAAATTAGAATATTCCAAAATTTGAAAACGTGGTATATGGTTGAATTCATTGAATTTATAATATTGCTTGAAATGTTAAAAAACATGTATAAAATGTTCAAAATGAATTTTGAAATATGTGGTCTACGATTGTAAGATAGCCCTCAAGGCGTAAAACTGGAAGAAATGAGAATATTTTGGGATAAAAGGATAAAAATATTATAAATTCATAATAAATATTAATATTTTAATACGATTTTAATGAAAAATGGAAATGTTTAAATACCTAAAAAGTGTAGGTCTACAAAATCTGGTCCAGGAGCCCTTGTTTATAAACAACACACTGCATCATTTCAACTCTATTAACTTATGAATTGGAATCAAATCGGAAAAAGGATATGAGAAATGGGAAAAGTCGGAGAGGGGAAGACGGGATGGAGAACGAAAGGAAGGTAGGAGTGGGGTACAGGTAAAGCGCTACCCACCGAGTCGCTGGAGACGGAGCGCACGGCGAGGCGGCTCGAGGCGGGCAGGCTGCGGGAGTCGTAGTGCTGGTGGTGCAAGTGGTGCGGCTGGCGCGTGGGCGTCTGCTGGGCCTGCGCCCCCGCGCCGCCACCGCCGCCGCCGCCGCCCGCAGCGTATGGGTCGCGAATGACGTTGAGGGAGGTGCAGCGCGACACGCTCGACTGCAGAGGCGTCTCCACCGAGACGGGCGTCGCGTAGCCCATGTCGGAGGGGGTGTCCTCGTAGTCGGGCTCCGCCACGTCGTCGCGCTCGCGCCCCGACGTCCACCACGCCACACACCACGCGCGTACCCACGCCCATGTGAACGGGCGCGCCCGCTGCCAACACGCGCGCGCTGGTTAAACTCCGACACTCGCACATGCCATTATTATTATTATTATTATTATTATTATTATTATTATTATTATTATTATTATTATTATTATTAACCCGTTTAATCCCTATTAGGGCAAGGGGAATTTATAGTATATGAGTTATATATTAGGTGTCAGTGGCGTAGCCGTGGGGGCTCGTGTTGCTACAGGCACCCAGATGCCAAAATTACATATTAAAAAATATTGCTTTTACTACTTTTACTGTGCCGAAATCCGGGATCACTTTGTGCCGCGCAGGTGGCTTTGTGCCACCGCACCTTTTAGAAAACAGTTGCTACGTTGTGATGTTTTGCGTTGATGGATACATATTCCTAATGCATGGTACTACTATTACGCCTTTTAGGAACTGCACTGTCATTACTGTGTTCCCGGGCTTATAGATTTTAATTTTGCATCAACGGCCTGATGGCCCGATTCTCGCCATGTAAAATAAGGCATTAATTGATTTAAAAAAGAGAAACAAATGACACAAATCATTAGTGAAAAGAAGTGCTAAATGTAAATAGGTGCAAGTGCAATTACTAAAGTAAATGTAAGTGTAAAAAACTAAAATAAGAGAAAAAGTATCAACAAAGAGACCAACAAAAATTACATTAGAATGTATCTCAAAACTGAGTGGAGCTAGTATTAAATTAGCATATAGAGAATGTACAGGCAGGCTGGTACTAGATAACACTAAACCTCTTAAGGACTGGTAAGAGATAATCAGAACCACCCCTATGTTCTGACAGGAGGTCTCTGTCCTTTTAGGGATTCAATGGGCTTATATCATCACCATCATCATCATCGACAACATAACTCAAATTGAACACATCTTTCACGCATAACATAAACTTTAGCATATGTTTAAAAAAGTGGTCACAGATCTCCAAGAACAAATTAAGTTAGAAACGTATTTTAATTTTTCATCAAACTTTAAATGACGTTTGGTTAAAAAACAAGTAGTTGAAATAATATTATATAATTTATTGAGTAAACCGATAACATTGTAATTGTATCTAAACTAAATTAAAGTTATCGTCTTCTATAGTATTTCAGTAGTATAGATACCTATTGCGGCTCCCACACGCAACCGATCTTCATAAAGACAGAGAATGTTACGGAGTCATGACTAATTGCAATTTTAATTTAAAAATACGACGGATTTGTAAAAAAAACGCATCCAAATATTTATGTTAAATGGAACCCGCAGTACTCAGTCAGCTATATCGTTAAATAACTCAAAAAACAAAGTGTTTTAAGGCCTTAAAAGCAAATATTTTGAAACGTTCCTCACGTTGCAATGTACAGAATGAGATATTCTTAAACATTCTATTAAATTTTTGCTGGTTCGGCCCTTATAGATACTACCAATGCCACCTACATTTCAACCCTTGGTGATGGTGGCTATCTTTATGACGTCGCGTTTAGAAGGCTTAGAATCTTCTATTTTATATTAATTGCGTGACTTTTCTTGAACGATGACCTTAATTCCCCCTCTCTAGCATAATAAAGAGTTGAAGGCAAAAGATCGCAGCGAGCACTGATGACAACATTCCAAACAATCTTCACTGGCGCGAAACATAAACTATTTTCTGTTGAAGACGAGAAGTTCTATCCGTGATTTTCTCCAAAAATCTAAAGAAATGACCGAAGCAGGAGATGATCCATCAAATGAGATACCTCGAACTCCTGAGAAACGCAAATTATTGAAAAGTTGAAATGGCATGACTGATTCTCCAGACTGGCATTGCTCCATAAAATCTAGGGGTCGATTTCCTAATACCCCCGCGCTACCCGCATTTCTTCAATACATCGTTGAAGAAAAGTTGCGCGAGTAATTCTATTTATGCTTTCAGTGTTCACCGTAATTATTAGTTTAAGATTCGCTCTCGCAGCAACTAGAAGTACTATTAATAGTTGCTTGATTTTGATGAAGATTGTTTCTGATTGTAGTGAAAACATTCATTTATCGTTTTGTCGATGTCTATAAATGCTGTGTGCCTAAACGTGGAGGGATGTGGGTGTACAGTGAAGAGTGAAGACGTGTCTTGTTAGGTTTGGTTTGTGTTTTACCTGTACCAGTATTTTCGTTATCAGGAGTGATTTGGTGAAACTTTTAAGTCAGTTTGTTCACTCACGAAGCACGTTGTTAAATATTTTTGTGACTATCACGAAAAGTGGAAAGACAACTTTCAAAGAAGATTGAATAATTAAAATAGGATAGGGATGAGTGTGGGGTTTAACATTGGAGGTGTTCTCGCACGGGTACGCGGAGGAGATAGGGGAAAACTTGTGCTATGGCACAACTCAAAGACCGAACTCTTTAAATTAACTAAAGTAAAATAGAAATTGAAACAAATGAACAACAAAAATCAAAAAGCCATAAGCCAACAATACTAAGTGAATGAATTCAAACAGCAACTAAATTTACAATTATAGAAAGAATAGCGCAAGTGACTCGACTGCTGCCAACGATCACAATTCAGACGCACGATTTAAATGTTGGCAGTATACGGAAGTATGTACATCAATTCCCAGCTGTAGATTCATATTGTAAATAATACACCGTTTGTTATTAAACTTAATGAGTCGGTTCGATAAGATATTCAATACGTATTCATCATTTGAGCCAAATTCCCACGTACCGAAGTATAGTCTATGCCTACTGTTCTGTCTAATGGTAACTAATGATATTTATTACTCGAAGATGAAAATATTAGTTTTATTATTTTTGGCTCGGAATTGCTTTTCTTGAGGAACGTAAGAATACAGGAATTATTTTTAGTGTAGAAATAATTTATCAAGTTTTACACCCCAGCAAGCTGGTGCCCTGCCCCATCAAAACCCCCCTCTGTTCCTCATAACAAATCCATGGAAGTTAAATAATATTGCAGAGTAGGGTTGTACTTGCCTAATCCTGTATTTTCGCATGGAAAACTTTACTTGACTTCCTCAAGAGTAAATTCCTTCCCTAATATTTTTGTGACTATCAAGGAAAGGGAAAAGGTAACTGTCAAGGAGATTTATTACTACAAATGTTGTTTTTAAGGAAACATGCCTTGTTCGAAGATCGTATTTCTATAATACTGAATAAACCATTTATTGAAAATTTTTTTCCAAGATAAAATGCATTGTTTTTATTTTTGTTTCATATTCTGTAAGTACAAACAATTATACATTTTTTAACAAATAAACACGTTTCATTTACAACTTTCCTTCTTAAAGGATAGAGAAAGGGTGGGAATTAACATGCGAGAGTTTTCACATATGTGCGCTAGTTGACATTTAATGTTTAAAAAGAGTAAACCACGATTTAAATAAACTCAACTGTTTATTTATTTCCATGCAACGCTCCACGATAATCTGGTGCGTCTTGGGTTTCAGGTACAGATGCTGGGGCGCATGACCAGCCAGCGGCCGGGACGGAGGGGCAGGGTGCTACCTCTCATCATCGCCATCTTGGATGACACGGAGCGGCCGCGAGGTGTTTGGGCTGCGCGTGCGCGTGCAGATGAATTGGCCGCCGCGCGGGCCCACGTAGGGGCACAATTTGCCGCACGCGTTGCCGGCAGTGTGGGGAAGCCCACGACGCTTCGCAGTGCCCGCTGGGGGAAACCACCCCGTGGCAGAGCTTAGATGCTCTAACTGCCTCGGCGGAAACCACGCTGCTTAGGGGCATCTGGTGCACGCAGCATCTGGTGTACGAGCGCCAGTAGCGGGACCGCCAGCGACGCGCCCGCCTCCAGGAGAGGCGAGCGGCCGCGACGAGCGTTCGAATTCGGTCGCTCAGGTGCTGCACACCCACCCCGTCCGCGAGGGACGCGACGCTCTCGTAGAGGAACTCGCCTTGTCCGCCGCCGATACCGCTGTAATAGTCACGTAATAAACATTTATTTCATATCCAGCAGTGGCTAAAGCTGTGGCGAATCAAAGTGACTGTGCAGCCGTACTCTTCACACGCCGACAGAGGTTCTCGCAGCCGATGCCATTCGCGCTATGCGGTGATGAAATAAAATGGGCCAAAAACGGAAAATACCTATGTGACACAGTAGATAGCGCGTATCACTGCACGTAGAAAACGTGCGCTTTTGCGCGGCAGACTAGAGGCAGATTGCGAAGCTTGTTTCACAACCAGCTGTCCACGGCATACTGCCTCACGCTTTATAAAGCCCTTCTAGGTCGCAAACGCATGTCCCTGTTGGCACCAAATTCATATTTGAAAAAAATCTCACTTGGTTAAAAATGAATGCCTAGAACCACCCTCTGCGGTCCTAGCGAACTTGCGCCGCGATTTATCAATACCACTACTAATAGATCACATTACAACTAATTTTTTTTGAAAAAGCAGCTGACTCGGAAAACATTGTCATTTCCGAGATCGCTTTATAAGAACCCAATCATCGGGTGAAGTATAAGCGGCCTAACAGAGTAAGCGATCCAACAGAGTAAGAAAACTGAAGCAGCGTAATGAGATGTGATACGTAAACTTTGTATCTTTGCACATACAATGCACGCGCTAGTTGGCTAATGTCGTACTGATCTTCTGTTTTTACTTCCTCTACTTACGAATTCTTCATTAGAAGAGAAAATTATGTAATCGTGCGCCACAAAACGCAGAAATTTGCGAAAAAAAACCTTACTGCTGGGTTTTAGTAAAGAAAAAGTGAATAAATCCGGTTGCTAAATTTACAAAAAAAAAATCCTCTATCCGTGGTGTAGACAGAATATATTTTGTTGGTTTTTGATACCGAAAGGTCGGTTGACGGCAAAACGTCCGTCTGCGTGTCTGTCTGTAGTCAACGTTAGCGCCTATGCCGATTTTCTTCAAAATCTGTATTCCTCAATCGATATGAATGAACCCGTGGCTTTGGGAGTTTCAAACAGATATTTTGATTTTTGAGAATGCTTCACATGTAACCTTAAAAATATTTTAAAAATTTTCTAAAAAAATCAATTAAAAAAATTTAATTGTGTTGTTGAATAGTGCAAAGGACGTTTAAGAGAATGGTTTGATCTCATTTTCGTTGACATTCCCAATTTTCCACAAATTGCAAAAAAAAAAGATATATAACAAAATAAATATAAAAATAAAAAAAATAAAAAATTGAAACTACAAAATCGATGATAGAAATGTTTTCCTCAAATAAAGCAAGTTGTACAAAATTAGCTTTTTAAAAGAGGTTACGTACAAGTTTTTGAGAAAATGTAGTAAATGTTAGTAGTTTTCGCGAAATTGAAATTATAGAATTTTTTCTCAAAAACATCTCCCAATTTTTGTTTTAATTTTCTTCACTTTTGTAATAAAGAACGATAAAAATATGATGCTATTCGCATTTTTAGGTATTGCTCTGTTTTTCGAAAATTGCGAAACGAATTTTAAAACCACAAAATAGAGGATTCTGGGAGATAGAGATTTCTGCCACAGGCAGTCTGTTAGAAAAAATAGTTCTTTAAAAATATTACGTTCACTTTTTTGAAAATAAGAGCAGTTTTTGCGTAATTGGTGCTTGAAATTTACGATTTTTTTTTCTCAAAAACCGCTCCAAATTTTTTAACAAAAACCACTTTAAATTTTCTGCACATATGTAATAAGGGATAGTAAAATATACGGCGCTAGTCTCATTTTCGGTTACAGCTCCATATTTTAAAAAATGCCAAAAGAACGTGTATTTCAAAACTATAAAATTAGAGATAGTTATATTCTTTTGATAGCTATATTCCGTCTGATAGTCATAAAAAATCAGTTCTTTAAAAAAGTCATGAACATTTTTTTGAAAAGAAGCTGATTTAGTTTAATAAGTAACTGAAAGTTATGCTATTTCTAAAAGTATTTTCTGAAAACTCGCAAATATTTCTAATAATATTTTCAAGTATGTTTCTTGTATTTCACAGCTATGATAAATAAATGAATAAATAATTAAAATTATTGGTGCTATCGAATGGCACAGACCCTCTCGCAGTAGTTAGTTATCTAATCTCTTTAGTCTGAACTAGGTTTCTGGTTGGGCCTGATCTCTTCTTAGATACCTTCGCCCAAGGACCTTTTTTAAATATTTTTCGGCTTCCTAATGCTAAAACTGAAACTGCCGTACATATATTGCTATTATATAAGTGCAAATCCCATGTACTTTCTGGGTGGGCGAAGTGGCTAACTGGCGGGTACCGGCCTACGTGCGCTCTTCGGAGGGAGAGTTGGTGGTTCAAGTCTTGGTCTGGGAATATTATTTGTCACAGTTCTCTATTGCCGCAGAAAAAAATTGAAAATTATAAAAACTTGATTGATAACTATTTTAGACAATTTTAATCTAAATAGAATCAATTAAGGTAAATAAACTGGAAGTGTATGAATGTGATATTCAAATTTTCAACTTTTAAACAATTTTTCACTTGTGTTGGATTTGAAAATCGTATGTACCATCAAATCAATTGTTCCTCTTTCTGCGTATATGTATGAAACGATGTAATTAAAATAATGAATATGTGAACATTAAATTTAAATACAATATAACCAGTACCCACGGAATCAAGTTAGATATCTCTAATTGTCCCAAAATTATTATTATTACTTTCTTGCCTTACGAATTCTTCGTAAGAAAAAGTTATGTAATCGTGCGCAAGAAAATGCTGAAGTTTCGCCAGAAAAACCGTAATGCCGGGTTCTGGTAATACAAAAAGAGGATAAATCCTATCGCTATATTTAAAAAAAACTATCCTCTAATTCGTGAGCCATGTTTTGTTGGTTTTTGATACCGAATCATCGATTGATCGATCCATATGTTCGTCTGTGGTCAACGCTAGCGCCTAAATCTTTCAGCTGATTTTCTTTAAAATTGATATTCTCTGATTGATCTGAACGTACTGGAGGCTTTAGAAGTTTCTATGGGATATTTTGATTGGTGTACGTTTTTTACTTGAATTGGGCATTTAACATTTAATGCCTTTACCCGAATTCGTGAACACGGCGCTTCAGTGCCGTATTGGTGTGAATTCCGGCACGTTAACTCTGTCCTGAATTCGAGTCTCGAGCCGGAAAATAATTTGCTGCTTGACAACACCTTTGTTGGTATTAGTAGTAGTGTAATGTTGCGAAGCATTTATAATCAATGCGAGAAAGTATGTGCTTCGTCAGCACCACTAGTTCTTTTATGGTTAGGATTGGTCATGGATGACCGTAAGGTTAGGAATGGCCTCACCACAGTGGCACGAACATGCATTTCACTTTCCGTACGTTCACAAAATTGCGCAATTGAGTTTGCCGAGGCTGCAGTGTTAGAGCTACCGGCGAGCAAGTGAGAGTGTAAAGTACGGCGTTATTGCAAGTGATCTGGTAGTGACACGTGAACTGCTTATTAGACATTTCTTTTGTTTTTTGTACTACAGTGGTTGTGATTTGGACTTCACGGCTAACGGTGATTTGGCTCGTCTTAGATGTAGTTCCTGGTTGGACGGAAAATTGTTGCACCGGTTCACTCGTGCAAAGTTATACAATGAATAAAAAAGCGATTTATAAACCTTGCTTATTTTTGCCTACTACATATTTTATGCATGATGTAAAAACATATCTTTGATGAAAATGAAAATAATTTTTGAAAAATATTTATTTTTCATGAAAATGTGTTTATTAAAATTACAAGGAAACGTCCTTTGTTACTGTACACTAATAAATCGCGTGTAACCTACATTATTAATTTTTAATACACGCATCAATGTTGAGAGAGTGAGAGTGGTTTTGTTATTTACCAAGAAATAAACAGATTCGATTTTAACAGAAAATGAAAATATTTCATTGTCTTATTCTGCCTATTCTCACACCGACTGAACTCCGGGCGAGTGATGCGAACGTTTCGTGGTCTCCTGAAGAGCTAGTGTCCCATCGTGGTCTTGAGAGCTCGAGAAGACCATGACAGGATGATGGAAACGTCGGCATATTATTTCCCTCACTCGCCTACTGTGCGTACTTACCAAGTGGGAGCCGTCACCGCCCAGCTCGTCCTGCGCCGTACTGGACTCAGAACGCGGCCGCTTCCAGTCCTCCAGATCCACAGCCTCGTCACTGGAACACACACAAGCGCACGCTGCCTACTGAGGCGCCGTTCCCCTCACCTTTCTTGCCTTTCAATGCTTTCCTCTACTCTCCGATGGGGTGCAACAATAACACACTTGCGGGGTCCGATTAGAGCCAGCGATACAAGCTTCACGAAAGCTATGGTGTATTCTCAATGGTAAATGTGAACCCGACCAATTAAAATGAGACAGTATGCGCTTTAACCACAACGGCCAATACTATCGAGGGTGACGTGGAATTTATCAGGAGAGACCGTGTTTCTTCACTGAGAATAGCGCCTTACACTGCTATTAATAGTTATTAATTAATTTCTTTACGCCATTTACTACATATTTCAGTATTTCTCAACGGCTATGGGCAATAAATTCATAATTCACTAAATTTATTTAATTTAAAATGTATGCAAATATTGTTACTGCAAATAAAGGAATACATTAATGAGATTTAATATATATATATATATATATATATATATATATACACACACACACATTGCATTTATACTCTTAACAACCAATACAAGTTAAATCACAGATGAGACCTATTTTACATAAAATATATCACGGGATAGAATTCATTCCTAGTAGCCTGTGCTTGAATGTTTTGATATTTCAACGAAACATAGATATACTTTCGTTTACGTTACATTAGCGAATCTTGATTTCATGTGACGTTCACAACTATTGAAGTATATTTTTGAGAATTTCAAAAATCATGATTGAAAATCTCCCGACGTACACGCACATCTGGTGACAAACAATATAAAATGCAAATATTAAAGTGACTCCTTGTGTTACACTTTTAGCCGCAGTAATATTTACGTGACTTTTAAGGTAATACAATACGAGTATATTTGAAGTATACCTTGGATTGTTGATTATAAATTGAAATACATCCACTATTTCGAGATCACTTCTTCAAATACCTTACAAATCTCCCCCTACAAAATACCCTCAAATTGTGTATAAATGACTAATAACAAAACTACTCGCTTATTAATAACTCCCAAACCTTTACTAGTTGCGAGTACAATTTCCGCTGTTCGACCAAAAAATAATTAGGAATTGTACGGTAAAATCTGAAGAAAACTAAAACATGAAGTTTATTGGACGCTCCACTACCACAAGTTATAGTTATTATGAGGTACATACAATTTTAATTTTAAAAAATGCTTCTTTACGAGCTGTAAATTACATATGAATTATACTTTTAAAGGTAGGGGAAAATTGTATTAGGTTTCATGAAGGTGATACTACATTTACCAGGAAATGAATGTCTAACGAGGTGTCCCCGAGGTAATGCCAAAATGAGATGTTCTAAAGAGCATTTGTAGATGGGTTTTCTAAGTGGTGTTTTTTTCATTCAATGCGCCATGATGAAAACACCGCCTCTTAAGCTCTGAAATGACGTAAGGAATGTGACTGGGGGATAGGCTATTTGCTATACATTTACTTGGTGTCTGAACAGCCATTAAAATCAACATTTATCCTGTCAATATTTCTTCCAACAAGCTTAATAAAACTTCCCAGATGTGAGACCAAAATGGATAATTGAGATGTTTGGTTTGGCAAGTTTCATTAGAAACACCCTGATTATATAGGATTTAAACCCTTCCGCGTGCGACGCCATCACTTGTCGCCATGCCTCTTGTTTTTTAGGTTTGACGTTTATGAATGTACTGAAGTTTATCATCTTTTAATTGACTTCGTGTCTATATGGTATGAACCTTTTATCGTGATGCGCCGTTTTCACCCTTACACTCAAATTCTCCAGAAGCACCCGCGGCAGGATGGAGTCAACAGCCCGCCTGATGAAAGAAAGACTTTAATTACAATCGTCGTGAACTGCAATTTTATTTGCTGAGGACCTCGCGCGGATAGTTTAAAGCCGGTCCCCCAATCAGACTTGCAGGTGCAAAAAGAACCAACACGAAGACAGCGCCAGGGAAGGGCGGGGGAAGCTGGGGTCGAGGTGAGGTGAGCAGCTGCCTCCGGCACACAGGGAGGCTACTGACTACCTGGAGTTGGAGCGCTTGGAACTCTCCTTCTTGCCGGCCTGCAAGTTGGGCAGATCCTTCTGCCGCTTCTCCGTCTCGCGCCAGATGCGCCAGTACAGGATGCACATGACGGTGACGGGCACGTAGAAGGCGGCGATGGCGGTGCCGAAGGTGATATAGTGGTTGGTCTCGATGAACTGGATGTAGCACTCGTCGTCAGGCACGGTGCGCTCACCTTCGATGTAGGGCCACGAGTAGATCCACGGCGGCCACAGCAGCAGCGAGATGCCCCACGCACACCCTGCCACGGGCCAATCACGAAACGTTTCAGTGGAAGGCCATTAGAAAATGAAGGGAAACTTGTTGCTCTCATGTGCGCATTCTGCGCTTGGTAAATCATTTTTTTACACAAACGAAAATATCTAGTACTAGTTTCTAATGTTGTACGTTTCGGACAACCTGTACTACGGAGTGATAGAAACATCTAAAATGGTAATACAAAATCCAAAAATGTATCATTTTGTTGATTAAGGCGTCAGAAATATAAATCTTGTGCAGATATACGAAAGCCATAAAGCAACACTGGTTTTAGAGTTCAGTGTTCCATAATTTCTGAGTTATACAAAATAGTAACGTGAATTGCAGTGTAACATATGCTTCGAGTTGCACGTGAGCCTACTTTACTCTCGATAGCATAGGCTGCAAACTATGTTTGCCTTAAATATATTTGATGCGGACCTGTGGATAATTAGGGAGTTTTGGGTTACCTCAGCATTCAGCAATCGACTGCAATCTCGATCTGCACTATTGTAGATGTACAAAAGTAATGCAAAATTCGAACTGCGTATGAACAGAAGATCGATAGTGCTGTAGATTACACGTACTGAAACGATTCGACGTGCCAAAACTCCATATTGCCTATCCAGCAGTATCATGATGAAAAAAAAATGGGTGAGCTATTGCGCTTTGTATCCAACTTCAGTCAATGACTTTTAGGCTCTAGTTCGTGTAACAATATTAGCCGGAGTTTTAAATGTAGCCAGATACCAAAATTATCACCTAACATTCATTGAATCTACAAGTCAAGTTCTCAAGTCATTGAGACAGATATATTAAGAATTTTTTAAAAATATTGCAACTTTTATTTCAATTACACTTCAATTCTGTTATTTTTCGTTGCAAATTGTCACATTATGACACTTTCAAAATGTTTCTCAACACTTCTCGCTCTCCATGTAATATGGCGGCCAGCGTCTCGCCTGGCTTTTCAAACGAACTATCCGTATTGTGGTCACGTGGTCCGTGACGTAAACTGGTGCTGCACAGAACTAACAAAAATCGATGCGCCGGTCTGTCACCTTTATCTTTCCATCATGAACACTTCTATATTTGCGTCATTTTATAACAATTATTTCAGTCATGAGATGTCCAACAATGAAATGCAAGAATGATATTTGGCTCATCCAACCAGAGGAATTTTACCCGTGCAATTTTCTCCTTTTAATTTTATCGCCACAACGTGCACTTGTTTCCGGCACAACATGGCTGAAAAAATTTACAAATGAATCCAACCCAAATAGGTGTCCTGTAAGTCTTTACAAGTTGTTAGTGAAGAAATGAGGAAAGCATGTGAAATCTGATCATCTATATCTCACTTCTAATCCTTCTTACTTAAAATATAACTTATGGTATAAGAATTATTCTGTTGGTCAGAAAAAAATGTCTAAATGGACCAATATTTCTGCTCAAAAAGCTGGTGTGTACACCTAATAAAACATTATTAACTATTCAAATCCTCCAACAATAATTTCACATACTGCCTCCAAATATAAAAAACAAAAATCTATTAAAATAACGGGTCTTGCGAATACCTCCTCTTTAAAATCGTGTCTCGGAATAAATGAAAAACGCCCTCTTCAATTGTGGGCAAAATACTCAATTCAGGAACCTCAAGTTCAGCATTAGTATAAAATATAACTTCAGCTACGTATAGTTTCAACAAATGCACAATTCAAGTGTACTCATTTAATTAAATATAAAATTAATGGTGGTGTTAAATTCTTTCATACACCTTAGTTTGTATTAATTGCGAGTAACTGATTATCCTAAAAAATACTAATTTAAGAAATCAATGATTCGTATTATTGACATGATGTTCTGATTTTACTTTAGCTAATTTGTACAGAGCGTCTTCACAAAGCGGCCGAGGTCGCTATATCTTCTATTAAAACGTTGTTTTTTATACTAATTTTAATGATTAAGATACTATTGATTTTAAGATTTACTAATAACTACATATTGTTTTCATTCGTGAAATACTCGCTGCTACGCACCTCATGAATTTATTGGTAAACTCCGAACCTCTCGTGATATTATCTTTCATAGTTTCTTGTAAATGGTACAACACCAGTATAGTTCAATAAAGTGTGTGAATGTACTTTATTAGAAATCCTTACTGAATTAAGAGTTTCTGAGAAAGAACACAAATATGGATCGTAACATTATAATATAAATTATTTATGATCCAAATTGACAGATGGTCAAACAAAACAAATAAAATTGTTATATTATAGTTGTTTAAAAATATTACAAATTGAAACAAATATCTAAGTTAAATAATTTGTATTAAACATTTTTGTTTAAATTCCTCTCACTTTCTTTCACTTTTTGTTATTTTGACATAAAATACATTTTGCGGTATTATTTTTGAACAGTTATGCAAATATAACTTTTTAAAATACATTTCACGCCTCTAATATGCACATTTCAGGCTATTTGTGTACATTACGTGTAAGTAGAAGGGCTTGAACATTTTTTTCGTATCATTCTGAAGCACTATTGTTACTATCCCGTATACGTAGGTACATACGGATAATGTACGTGGCATAGAGAAAGTTATGTTATGCTGTGGAAAATAGATTTTGAGATATAAACGAAAATACCCATTTTCGGGTTTCCTGATACCGAAAAAGTGATATATTTTCCAAAAGTTCGTCCATTTGTCTGTACGTCAGTCAACTTTGTTGTCTGCCTGTCTATTGTCCTGTGAATAACACTGGCGATTTTGGAAGGTTTTTTTCTAAAATGGATATTTCACGTTAGACATGGCCGCACTAGAAACTTTGTGAATTTGTAAAACATCTATTAAAATTGCTTGAAGTCCCTTGAACATTTTCAAAAATGGCTCAAACATTTCTGAAAAATGTTTAAAAAAATGGTTCATTTTTTTAAAAACTCTTTGGAAAGAGTTTAGAAAGAGTAACATTTATAAAGAAGGCATAGATCTGAAACCACTGATAACTCTAATTTTTCAAAAATATCAAAAGTATGAAACTTTTTTGGCTTATTCCTACTATAACAAAATTTAAAATAGAGATTTTCCCTTCAAGTATAATGTTTTTCTCCATTGTTTGTTCTTTTATTAAGGCCATATACATTATAAAAATAGTAGTGTTTGCGCTAGATTGCATGCAAAATGCGCTGTATTATAAATTAAAAAAACACCATTTTCTCAAAAACGGATTCATATTTTGCCTTCTTGCACATACTAACTTAAGCGATTACAAAAAAATGTACTAGTCATATATTCGGGTATTGCTCGTTTTTTTTTAATTTCAACAAAAAACAAACATTTTATAACTACAAAATTGAAGATAGAGATTTTTGCCTCAAAGCCAGACAAAGTCCGTTGTACAAAATCAGTTCTTCAAAAAAGGTAATGTACCAGTTTTGGAAACAAACAGTAGTTTTTGCGTATTTTACCGAAACAATTTTCTCAAAAACCGCTCTATTTTTTTTCATTACATTTTCTCCATATATTTAATATGAAACGTAAGAAATAAAGCGCCTGTGTCATTTTCGTGTATTGCTTTTTTTTCGAAAATTGTAAAAAAAATTAAAACTACCAAATTGAAGATAGGGATTTTTGACTCAAGAGATTTTTGCCTCTTATGTAGAAATTAATCTTTTTAAAAATGTCATGTAAATTTTTTTGAAAAAAAAAACAACTAATTTTTACGTAATTTCTGCTTGAAAATAAAGAATTATATACAAGTTTCACACAAACTACAAGTCACAAGAGAAAGTGAATGAATGCTAGGAAAAATAATTTAATTCATTTTAATTATAATTAACAATTGAAATGCCAAAATTATTTTTTTGTTTTTACTTTCTCGCTTTTGGACTTTTTACTTAATTTTTATTCTCAATAAAAGGGTGTATTTCTTTTTAAGCAATCTGTAAAGCTTAATTCAATTATCGCATCAATGCGCTATCGATAATTTAGAAGCTAATTTTCGAACGTCAATATGTGGGCGGTGATAAGATATAGCTGTTAACTCCAGCTGGTGGTGGTGTAACTCCTAGACCGCGAGTCAGTACTTCTGTTAGCGATGAATTTAGCAGTAGTATTTTATAAATTACTCCCCAAAATGTTCGGTGATATATGTTATATATCATTTAATATCATCTGATCTCTAAGAAAAATTACTACGTATTAAAAAAAAGAAAAGCGATGAAACGCTATCGGAACTGTCATCTTACGACGAAAGGTTACTCAGGAGTGAGCAGCCAGAATTTCCGTCATTATTATGATGTAAATTGCATTTATTCTAATTACTGTATTGGTGTTATTAGCCAAGTGAATGCACATAGTTTTGACAACGGTGCGCTTGCAACAATGCGTTACTCTTTTCTGCATAATTTATTGCGAATACTGTATCATTCAAATGTATTCCTATGTGTTTCATTTGTCAGAATAAGAGATGATTGCTGCTCCTGACTATCGAAATGAATGCAAATATGTATCACAGGCGCATTGTTTGAAATATACGTTACCAATTAATTGTTGCTGAGGTTTTAGTAGCGAACAAAATGCAATACTTCAATGTTACGTAGCTATTTCCAATAACGCGATAATATATGTGCTGTTGTAGCGTTACTAGTTTCTTTTAACTTTTGATACGAGTACGGTTAGTACTCTATAAGATAACATAAACGCTATATTCCTCTATTTTATGTTTTTTCAAAAATTAGACAAATGTATTTTTTATAGCTCTTTAACGTTAATATTTACATTAGCGAAGATTTTCAGAAACGCTCAAACATTTTCTCAAAAATGGCTCCAAACAAATGTTATAAACAATATTCAGAGACATTTACAGAAATTATTAATGCCCAAAATTATCATTGATTTGTAATGTGAAAAATTCAAAAATATAAATGAAACATTTACTATGTTTTTATCAGCACTTTGAAGCGGCGGCGTTTGCTCAGTGAATTCATTTGTTGTCTGCAGTGTGT